AAATTTTTGATGTCGGGACAACATAGGTTTAATTTTGTAAAGTATATTTTTTGAAATTTTGGTGGTTATTGTTCTTATATGGGCTCTCCAAGATATATTTTTGTCAATAAGTATTCCAAGAAATTTTGTTGTTTTTGTTCTTTCAATGTTTACTTTATCTATTTTTAGTGAGGGAAGGATAGTTGGTATATTATTTTTTTGTTTTTTGAAATGAAACAATATGTATTTTGTTTTTTTCTGTATTTAGTGATAACTTATTTACATTCAACCATATATTTAATCTTTCAAGCTCTTTGTTTATAAATTCACAAAGTTCTTTAATATAGTCCTGAACTGAAACTATCTGAACTATCTGAACCTCGAACTGTTCGAGGAATAACATAAGTTTCTATCATCGGCAAACATAATTACACCATTTTTTTTCAAGGCTTTTGCAAGGTCGTTGACATATAGAAGAAACAGAAGGGGTACAAGAATGGAACCTCAGAAGACACCGCACTCTACTCTTAGTAATTTTCAGTGGTTATAATTATCTTAAATAACACATCGTTTAAGTTTTTGTTTTAACTTTTAGTTACGAAGTTAAACAAAAAGGATCAGGAGAAAATTAAAATTAATTAATAAAAGTATTGATATATGAAAAAAATTAATCATTTTATGACTAACTAGTATGATTCATGAAACAATAATAAAAGGAATTTAGAGCAACATTAAGTTCTTGTTGGTTTAGTTCTTTGTATTTTAGTTCGCTCTGGACATCACTTAGGTATAGTTCAAATGAATTATTAGGAGACTTAATTTTTGAGGCAAGATTAGGGCCAATGTTAACAAAAAATTCGCTGAACTTTTCTACAATCTTATTTTGTCATTATATTCTATATTCCCTACGACGATTCGAGCAGGTAAACTATTTGATTTAGCTTTTTTGTTTTCAATTATTTCTTTTATAATATTCCATGTTTTTTTAATGCCGTCAGTTGCATTATTTATTTAATTCGAGTAATAATTTTTCTTTGAATTTTTTTATCTGTTTTTTCAAATAAATTTTTATATTGCTTGTAAGTATTTAGATTTTTTTCATTTCTATTTTTTAAATACTTGATGTAAAGTTTTTGTTTTGTTTTTGAAGATTTTTTTATACCTCTAGTAATCCATAGACATTGTAATTATTTTACTTTTAATTGTTGTTCTATAATTGGAAGTGATTATTATAGTGCTTTAAGAATATTTCTAAAAATTAATTATAAGCGGAACTGATATGCCTAAAGTTGCATTCTTAATAAATCTTATCCCAACTCACTGCCGATTGGGTCTTAAACTGTTGAATAGTAAAATTATTAATTTTTCGTTTATAAACTTTGATTTTGGAGTTATTATTTTTTGTATCTTGAAAAAAGGAAAAGTATATCGGAAAGTTGATAACACCTGCTTTTAATGAAGAATCTTTAAAGGAATTAGTCAATATATTATCTATTGCAGTGATTGAGGTTTATGTTACCCAAGTGGGTTTGTTTATTATAGGAAAGATGTAATATTGAAACATATTGTCAAAAAAAATTTTGGTAACAGCATCTTCATTATACTGTAGGCAGTTTATGTTTATCTCTCCAATACAGAATAATATTTTGTGCTCTTTGTTGTTTTTTAGAAATATTTATTTTTGATGATTTAAAAAGTTTTTATATCACCTTCAGGTGGTTTGTAACAGCTAGGTACCAGTATATTTTTTAATTTTTGGTTTATTATTTCAATTGTAAAGACCTCACCATCGGCATCAGAAACCGAAAGATTGGCTCTAATTTTCGTTGTCAGATCATTATGAATATGTCATAATTTCAACTCCTCGTTTTTGAATTTTTCGCTCATAAGATATTAGTTTGTAGTTTCGCTCATAAGATATTAGTTTGTAGTTCGCTCATAAGATATTAGTTGTAGTCGGAATTAATAGGTTTGAATTTATTCTGGATGATTCGTGAGAACACAAAGTTTCTGTTAAGCAAATCATACTGAACAAATAATTATATTCTACAAGAAAATGTTTTAGTTTGTCAATATTGTTATTTATACTTCTTATTTTGTGTATCACCGTAAAGTTATTATTTAATGATTTTAATTTATTTTTAAAAGTTCCTAATTCAAAAAAACCGCGAGTTAAAATTATTTTCTTTAAAAAAATGTAAATCTGGATCGTAAGAGTTATTAAGTAAAAAGTTATTAGAGGGTTTGAAAACATTAAAGTGTTGCGTTTCGTAATCTATTGTTTGTTTAGCCATTAGTAAAGAAAATTAACTTTTTCTTAATTATACGCAAAAATTTTCATATTTTCTATATACGCTACAAAAAACTTTATTAAATTTAATCGTTGCCTATTTAGGGATTGTCCATTAATTACGTCAACAATTTTTTGACAATTTTTACCTACTTCCCCTCCCCCTTGTCAATAACTTGTCAAACTTTCAGTGACCCCCCATAAAATTACGTCAACATTTGATCACCTCCCCCCCCCAAAAAAAAAAAAAAAAAAAAAAAAAAATTAAGATGGAAAAAAAATATTTTAAATTCACTAGTTTACAACTGAAACAAATAACTGGTTCAAAGTAAAATGTTTAAAAAAAATGTATTCAAATTTTAACTTAAGAAAATATTTCAAATGAATATAATCATTTAAAATTACAAATGCTTGCTCTCAACAAAAAGTGAATTAAAGTAAAAGGTATAGAAAAAAAAATTAAACTTTTAACTGATAAACATAATTCCAGTTTAAAAATACAAGAGTCTTTTTTTTGTAAACCCTTTAATCTTTTTTTCTCTTAAGAAAAAAAAGATTAAAGCGTTCACAAAAATGTTCACACGTATAAATTATAACATTTCAAATTAATAAAATTCTCCTCACTTTAACATTATACCTAATAAAATTTATATTGAAAGCCAATTAATTTTATTAGAGTCTAGAACAACAAAAAAACATTTAACAAATTGTATGAACCAGGGGTTGGCATCCTTTTGAGACAAAAGAGGCAAAAGTTACAATATACAAAGTTTTTCAGTATTTAAAGAGCTACCAACATCTTTAGTATAATATTACATTTAGGGATGGGGTGTCCCGAAAAGGACTCCGGATTTATATGTCACAAAAAAATTACTTCTTCCTAGTTTTTGGTATCCAGGAGCTCTAATAATATAAAAATGCTTAAGGATTGGTAAAAAAGACTTTTAGGTTAGAGGAACAATCTTTTTTTGAACCCGGAGTCCTTAGGTATAATGGCGGCTAGGACTTTGAGACTCCGGACTAAAAACAATGTGTTTCAAGTTATTAAATTTCATGAGTTTTTTATTTACCAGATCATAAATCAACCAACATGTTCAATCAACAACAAAACCGGAGTCCTTTCGGGACTCCGCATCCCTGATTATTCTAATGTTTGTGCATGTCAAGGTGTCTAAATGTAAAAATGCAGCTAAAGAGCAGCGCTCGAAATAACAGCCAATCAATAATCAATGATTGGCTATTTTCTGGGAAATTTCAAGAAAGGGAAAAGAATCTATTTTTGTGAAAAAATTACATTTGTTCGGCAAGATTTGAAAAACTATTTCGAGCGCTGAAAGAGCTTCATCTTGACATCGACAAAATCGCAAGAGGCTTGCGAGCAACAAGGGGTTGCACCCCTTTTATAAACGTTTAAACAATGTAATGTAGACAATATACTTACATGAATCTTTTTTGAATGCACAGCAGACTGAGGCAACAATAACTTTGAAAAAATAATACCGTTACGAGTAAACATCTATTGTGTAGTTATATAGACCCGACATACAGAACTAAATATTTAGTTCTGTATGTCGGATCATTTAATGCTTAAAACGGTTTTTAAAAAGTAGAAATATAAATTATAAGAAAGGAATAAAAATACTGAAGGTTGAGCGATTATATAACACAGGACTGCAAACGCTGCCTAATTTTCCTTTTTCTAAATAGTTAAATTTATAAAAAACCAACTTGTTTGCAATAATTTTTATATATTTTTCATCGTTATTTCCATTTTTTAAATTAATATTATTGAAAACATACTATATATTTTATATTCACTAAATGTAAATCCATATGAAAATATGAATGGCAAAATTTCAAACTAATCAATTCATTACCATGAAATGATTAGTTTGGTATTTTGCCACCCATATATTTTGAAGCCCGTGTCTGTTTATTATTTATATATTTGTAATTAAGTTTTGTTTTTTGGTGAAAAGGAATTGTAGTTTATATAAACAGTAAAAAAGAAAAAAAAAGTAGGGTTCATATTTTACACTGTAAAAGTGTGAGAATAAAGTGCGGAAAATAGTTAGGAGCTTGGCTATTTCCGTACATACATAGGGAAAACTTGCAAAGGAGTGCTGCTACATCCAATGAGGGGCAGGGATAGGATAGAAGGAAATTTCCGTACTTTATTACCGCATTTTACACGCTGCGTACGCACCATTCCACCATTCCATATTTTGCCGTACTTGCTCCGTACATTCCATATTAAATATCGGAGTAAGTATGGCAAAATATGATATTTTGCCATACTTACTTATGGCAAAATATGATATTTTGCCATAGCAAAATATGATATTTTGCCATACTTACTCCGATACAGTCGATCGGAATGCTCTGTCGAAGAATTTTAAAAAAATAATTAGTTCCTGGTTTAATTTAATGTAAACTTAAAAATGCAAAAGTTGTCAGTTAATAATGAAAATCGACATACTCTAAGATTTAATTAAATAGAAACATAGAAAGTTATATATTGGATTCATTTATATTATTAAACCTAATTTAATTCTAACATTCTATCAAAATTTTATAAATTTATTTTATTAAAATTTCTAAGAAATTAAATAATAATAAATGAAATAATACAGATTAACAGAAAGAAAAAAAAAAAAGATTATATTATTTATAAAATAATTTTATTATTATTTGTTTTAAATTAGGTAGTTAAACAATATCATATATTATTAGCTTTAATATTCATTTTATTTGATATTATCTAGATTTTCTTCACGCTCTTAAAATAAAATGAATTGCAAGTTTGATAATCGAGAAACTGCATGGTATTCATGGGATGAATGGATGGAAGTTGGTACTTTATTGTACTGTTTTTCTGATATTCAATCACAAATGAAAGGAATCAATATGGTTAATGTATGGAAGAGTCGAGTACGTAATGGCACTTTACCGATTTCTGTTGAGTTAACTGCTAGTTTAGTAGCATCTTATATAGGTACCAATGAGGAGAATGTTACAGAAGATCAACAGAGATTAAGCATGTCAATGGCTATTGTTCGTTTTGTTAATGGAGTAACGGATCAATTGCAAACAGGTGTTTATGCACAGTCTGTGCAAGTTATTGCAGATCAAATTAAAATACCTGATTGGATAGTTGATTTGCGACATGAAGCAACCCATTCACATTTGCCAAGTACTGATATTCTAAAATCTAGTGTGATGTTTGCTTTAACTTGGTTAAGTGAGAACTATTGGAAGGAAACTCTTTCAAAACTAAAAAAAAAAGAGGAATTTGTTGATAAGAAACTATGTGAATACTCAGATTTTGTTTCTTTATTTTTAAAGACTAATTCAATGAAAAGTTTTAAAAAGAAAAAAAATAAGAAGCTCTGCAAATACACTGCTAAATGTGTTAAAAAGTCTTTTGAATTTGTGAAATTAGTTCATTCTGGAAATTTGAAAGTTATAATAAAACATGTATTTAAGAAAATTTTGATTTCTACAAGTTATTTTCAACTTCCAATAACATCTCTAAATGAAGAATGGTCTAAAGAATGTTTTAAATCTATTAATATATTAATTATACTTTGGAAACCATTATTGTCATATTTGAGTTTGTTTCCAGAATTTCAAGAGCTAATCTTTTTAGAAGTAATCAACAGTTCTAAAAATATGGAGCTTAGTATTTTTGTAATTTTGTTTGTTCTTTATAAATTAAAGTTTTATTCTTCAAAAGTAATAGGTTTTCTAATGAATCATCCATCAAAATTAAGCTTTTCTCTTCTGAGGTGTTATGTACGCGACAGAGAATTTCCACAAAAAGAAGTTGTTATGAAAGTATTACACTTATTTGAGTCAACTCAAAATTTTTTATCAAAATCGCAAAATGTTGATGTTCAGTCTCTAATAAGTATTCCTCAAAAAGAAATTGTTAGTAAGCTTAAAAAAGAATTAGATATAGAAGAAGAAAGTACACACTTTCAGAGTTGGACTTTAGCAACACAGACTAGCTTGAAAAATTTGCCACCAGTAGGAGAGTTTAAACAAGAATATAATATTGATATTTTAAATGTTTTTCACAAAACGTTTGAAAACACTGATAATAATTTACTAAGCAATGAAAGTTTTATTCAAACAGAAAGCAGTTTTAAAGCAAAATTTGATGAGGACTTTGTTTCAGATATAGATTGTCAGTACTCTTTTTCTGATAGTTCTAAAAATAGCCAACTAAGTTCAGATATAGATTTTACTATCTTCAAAGATAGTGATGTGAAAGAGCATGATATAACCTCTAAACCAATACTACATTTGACATCTGCAGATATATTTATATTTTAGTTTGATTTTAGTGTATTTTTTAATTATCATTATAAAATCCAATAATATTTTGTAATACATGTTTTTGTAATACATGTTGTTATAGCCACTTATACTATCTAATAACTTACTTAAGTTACGATTTTATAGTGACCAAGATTTTTGGTCACAATAATTATTAATTTTTTTTTGTAGTAGAGCACTATAAAAATAAAATATAATAAAAAATCTAGGAGCTCAAACTGAGCTCCAATTTTTGTGAGTTAAAAACTGACATTTTTTAAAGAATATTTAAATTTTAAACTTTATGGTAAAAGTCACACAACTACAGGAGTCCTTAAATTTATAAAAGCTGGAATTCTGATGCAAGTTAGTAGCAATTGATTCCTGTTTCAAAAATAATTGATTCCAGGAATGAAAAATTGCTTTCCACAACTATAAGTAGTTTCTGTAATTTTTAGGAGCTCTATGACTAATGGCTAGGAATCTCAATAACTCAAAATTCTTAAGTTCTTTTTTTTGTCACTGGGTTTGTACTGTTTACTTACTTAGATTGCATTATTTAACTTTTGCTTTGATATTAAAACAAAACTAAAAAAGTTCCATATTTAATAAAATAAAATTATGTGCAAAAAAAAAAGCATTTAAAAATGATTAAAATTATTAATGTTTAATTTTACAATTTAAATTTTTGAAAAATTCTAAGATTTTTTTGATTATTTTGATTATTTTTTATTATTGAAAAATTGTTAAAAAAATTAAAAAGAAAAATTATTGTTAAAAAAAAAATTAAAAAGAAAAATTATTAAATATATAAAAGAAAATATATAATATAAATATATATAAAAGAAAAATACTTTAGCTTATTCAACATAAAATTTTTAGGAAATTTGTGTTTTTTTTAAAAAAAAAAAAAATAATAATAGAGGTTTTTCGATCTTAATTTTAAGTCAGCCACTCTTACTTAAAATTTATTTGAACCAAAAATTATTAAGAAATATTATAATGTAAAAACGAATCTATGCTTATATAAACTTCTTATCAGAACATTTAAACAACATTTTTATTTGATGACCTTTTTGTGAGGGTAAAGCTTTAGTAAAATGCATCACTTTACAAAAGCTTTTATTAACTAATTTAATAGTAGTAAAAATTTCAAATGATAAACTAGCTGTGATGATTTCTAAAATTTTGTCTTACAAAGTTTTTATTTTAATGCTTTAATTTTCTTATGTTGTATCATAAGAATGTTATTTAAAAACTTTAAAAAAAAAAAAAAAAAAGTATATATATTTGGTAAACATTGACCAACAATTAGTAAAAAATTGTAATCAATTATCTATGTGCTTACTTCTTTTTCTTATATTAGGTATAAATCTATCAAAATTTTAAATAAATCTATCAAAATTTTATTGCAATATAGTAAAAAAAAGAAATATTGTTTTAAAAAATATTTTTTTTATAAAAAAGTCTTAAAAATAAAAAATTTATTGTGAATTTAAAAAAAAAACTATAAAGAAATGTTTCCCATCACAAATAAATTAAATTTGTTCTAAATAATAACCAAAATACAAATAACTTGCTCTGATTAATACATTTGCTTGTTTAACATTTTATTTCAAAGGAAGTTACTATATTTACTATTAAAATGATCTTTAAAAGTTTAAGCAAATATTTTCAGATATGTTTGAACAAAATATTTCTCTGTTAATGCTGGTTGTGTTTTTTTATCAACATTCTTATTGTTTTTATCAATAAATAAAACTTTGAATTAAGTTCACATTGCATACATAAAAAAAAAAAATTTAAAATCCAAAAAAAATATTGAATGAAACTATATTTTGTTTTTATGTTGATTTTATCTGAGTGAATATTCAATTATAAATAACAATTATATTATGTTACAATATTTTTAATACATGAATTAATATGCTTATTAAAGCAAAACTTATGTATGTAAAACAATGTTAATATATATATATATATATATATATATATATATATATATATATATATATATATATATATATATATATATATATATATATATATATATATATATATATATATATATCTATATATATATATCTATATATCTATATCTATATATATATATATATATATATATATATATATATATATATATATATATATATATATATATATATATATATATATATATATATATATATACATATATATATATATATATATATATATATATATATATATATATATATATATATATATATATATATATATATATATATATATATATATATATATATATATATATATATATATATATATATATATATATATATATATATATATAATAAGAGTTAGGCTTTTTACATGCAGTTTTATTGTATATTTTTGTAATTAGTAATGTATAAGTGTTTTCAGTATTATTTTTTGCATATTTTTATTTATAGTTTGATATTTTGAAAGCAAATTGTTAAAGAAAAGCCATCATGGTTATGCCATCTATTTGCAAGTATCATCAATGCTTTTTATTTATTACCTTTATGATATCGAACCCTATTTATTGTTTTGATATTGAAAAAAAGTCTTTAAATGTTTTGGTTGGTGGATTTTTTCCAGTATGCTCAGAAAAAAATTGTTCAAAACTTTGTGGAAAAATAAATATTGAGCGGGGGGTTCATAGAGTAGTTGCAATGTTGTTTGCTATTGATGAAATCAATGCAAATGATTCATTATTTCCTAACTTTAAAATTCAGCCTCAAATATATGATACATGCAATCAAGATTCTAAAGCTTTAGATGGAGCATTGGATATTGTTAAAATTAAAAATAAGCAAAATATTTGTGGCAGTAGTGAACCTGTTGGAGGTGTTATAGGTCCTTCTAGTAGCAGTGCCTCAATAGAAGTAGCTAAATTACTGCGTTTGTTTCAAATACCACAGATTAGTTATGCTGCTTCAAGTCCTTTACTTAGTGATCGGACAAAATTTAACTATTTTTTGCGCACAGTGCCTTCAGACTCAGAGGCGATAAAAGTTATAATTGCTGTTGCTAAATATTTTCAATGGAGTTCTGTTTCTGTTTTATATTCTGAAGGTCCTTATGGAGAAAGTTTGTTTGAAACCTTCCAGGAATTACCTGAGAATAAAAGCCTATGTATAGTAAAGCAAATGAAAGTGAATAACAACAGCAACTTTACTTCAATAATTGAAAAGTTGAGGCAACCAAAAAATACAAATGCTGTACTTTTGTTGTGCACTGATAATCACATTCTCAATATAATAAGAAATGCTTCTTATTTAAATGCAAGTTTTTTATGGCTTTCTCTTGATTTTTGGCTCACAAACAAAAGTTTTCTTCAGACATCAAAAATCCATAATGCAACAAAGTCTGTTATTATTGTACGCCAAAGTGTTGGAGAACAAAAGAAATTCGAAGAATATTTTTACAGTTCAAGTTTTCTTAATAACAAACAGAACAATTGGTTAAAAGAAATTTGGGAGGAAAGTTTTGATTGCAATATTACACTAAATACATGTGATTTAAGTAATATTATATTTGACAGTAAGGTATCATATGTTATAGACGCTGTTTATGCATTGGCATATGCTTTTAATAAAGCATTAAATAATTCTAATAATGATTTGAATAGTGATGTACTTAGTAATGGATCTTTAATCTTAAACAAGTTAACAAATAACTTTTATAATGGATCTTTTGGTTATACTCAGTTTAATGAGTTTGGTTATACCTTTAATGGTTATGAAATTATGCAGATTCAAAATGATCAATATGTTAAAATTGGTACATTTCATGATAGATTAATCATTAATGGTTCTCAAATTGTTCTACCATTTAAGCCTGAACAATTTAATTGTTCAGAACCTTGCGCCTATAATGCAAGAAAAGTGGTTGGAACACCGTCATGTTGTTTTACTTGTGAAACATGTCCACCAAATAAAATAGGTAAACCATAAAAATTTTTAATTTTTTCTAAAAGGTTTTTAAGTTTAGTTATGTTAAGGTTTTAAAAATTTTAAAAAGTTGAAAGAAAAAAAAAAAAAAAACTAATTAATAAAAAATGACATTAATAAAATTAGCATTTATATTATTATATTTTATAAATAATAATTTTTTAAATCTTTTATTTAATATATCGCTTATGCCCTGGTCATGACATAAACATAATTTAACTTAAAATTTTAACAATTCCCTTTGTAATTGTTAGAATGAAATATAAAAGTCCTTTATGGGTCATTCCATGTCAAATCATCCAAAAATATCAAAAAATATCGCCCGTGTTTGGGATTTTGCTAAATTTTCAATATTTTATAGGGTTTATGAAAATTAGGAAAATCTGAAAATTAGAACCTCCAACTCCTTACGGTTCTTGAGATATTCAGGTTTCAATTTTCATATTTATGCTGACTCAGCATTTTTTACAAAATGAATTTTTGTCATTAAATAGCAAAATATTTTATGGACAAAATGAGGTATCATTCTGAAATTTGGTACATAGACAATCTTCCATATGGCGGATACAAATATCAAATTAAAATTTTTTTTAGACCACCTTATGTACATGTAAATTAAATAATAATGGCATTTATTTTATGTATTTTGACAGTCAAAATAGTGATGTCGCCTTGATAATTTTTTTTAGACATAACTAAAACTTACAAATAGTTATCAAACATCACTATTAATTAAAAATATATTATTACATTTTTTGTCTTTTCTAAATACAGCCTTATCCCCCCCTGCCCTCACAAAAAAAAAATTAATTTTGTAAAAAGTTATTTTTTAAGACATTTTGAGGGCAATGATAAATGTATACTTTATTTCTAAATTTTTGTATCTGGCGTAGGCATCCCCCCTGCCCTCCCAGAATTTTTTTTTTCCTAATTTTGTTATGCCAATAAAAATAAGATTGTTTTGTTAAAATTTTTCCATCAAGCTTTTGGAGGCCAGCTAGGTTGGCTTGGGTGGTGGGGTCGCAATTAAGCATATTACCAAATATGTTTGATTGCGACCCCACTCCCCTTAATTGCTTATTTTGACTGTCAAAATACCCCACTTTTTTTTTCTTAAAATATATAAAGACAAATTACCAGGAGATTTTTTATTTGTGTGGCCAAATTGTACTAATTACGCACAATTATATTTTAACTATATTTTAAAAATTTATAAAAGAGAATTTTGTAGCGAAATTTCTTAACTAAATTTAAAAAAATTTCATACAAGTATAAAAATAATTAAGCAATAGAAATTTTTTCTAAAAATCTTGGTTATTTTGTTCAATAATTTTTGCCAACTCAATTTCTGAAATTTTGAATACACGACCATTTGTTGTAGATGGCGGATTAATGGTACATAAAATATGATTTGATTGGACTTAACACATATCTTCTCATGCAGGCCAAGAAAAACTTGGACCATGTGGATGCATAAATTAAATTTTATAATCTCCTTCTCCTTCATCTTTTTTGTTTATAATTCCAATCCACTAAAAGCTGTCAGACTTACAAATATAGATATAGCAAGCTACATAGCCCATATGATTATAAATAACCTGCTGCACAACCAGCTCATTTGGTATCTGCACAAGGTTAAATGTCTGAACATCAGTTTGTTGACTCATCTTTTTAAAAGAAATTGTTATATATATCAATTGGTTTAAAATAGTGAAAGCGTCTATTTATCAATTGGTTTAAAATGGTGAAAGCATCTTGTTCCTGGCAAGGTTCTTCCCATAGTAAACCTTGGTTACAATGATGATTGTACTTCATTTATTTCTGTTTTATAATCAAAAATGAATTGAATGTTTTTTATATTGGTTACATAAAATTCAAACATCTTATCTACATCTAAAATCTGTCCAGTCACTGTTCTTTTTAAACTAGCCTGAGCAGTTATTCGTTTTACTATACCGCCAATGCCAGCACAAGCAGACTTACCATGGCTTGTAGCAAAAAAGACATTTAGCATCAATATTAAAGTCTTCTTTGTGATGGCAAAGATTAATAAAGTTTTTAAAGTTTTTATATTGTGCTGCACATCCATCAGAGAAGTATTTAATATTACTAATTTGTAGAATGTTTGTCTTAATGTAATTGGTAATGAGCTGTTGTATTTTATATACAAAGTATACATCATGCTCAGCAGCATCAGAAAGGAAGCAAAATGACTTAAAAATCAGTTTATCATTTGATTTATAGTATATAATAATAGGGTGAAGTGTACATTTTGGTTTATTCCAGTGGTAACTCTGTAACTCATCCTGAACAATAAATTGGAAGTTCTCTGCAAAGTCACCTAATACTATACACTCATTTTGATTTAATAACTCTTTACAGTCTTAAGGTACTTTGCTTGACTTTTAGCTATAAGTGAATGAGATGTTAATGTTATCTATTTTATTGCATATGAGGTCGATAACATCTTCAATATTGATTTTTTGATTGATCAGCGTAGTTCTATCTGTATGGTTAGTTGTTATTTCTTTATCGCTGTTGTCAAACTTTGCTGTTAAGAATTCTTTTAAAGCAGTAATATCAGGACATAGCAGACATCGATGTAACATGCACTCTACATTATCCCTATTGCAAACAATCATTTCCTTCAAATATCTATAGTCTTTGTCAATTTTAAGAGCATCAGTTAACAACTTAACATTCTGATGATAGGTACAGACACAAACACTGTCGGTGCCAGACGAGTTTGTATTTATACACCATCTTGGGCGAAGGCTGCAAAACTTAAAAAATCTGAAGTTTAAATTAAAATGTTCGGATTTAAATGCTACATAAAGTTCTTTAAATTTCCATGGTTTTTAAAAAGATTGCAGCATTTCTGAAATTTTTTTTCAAATACAACTCAAAAGTATTCTCTATGATAATAGCAAACTGTTGTAAACAATTTTCCACATTCAAATAAACCAGCTCTCCATAATAACTCATGTTTTTCACCACTTTAAAACGTTGATAGATCTAAAAGACCTTGTCTTCTTGTTAAACCTTGCTTGTGGCAGTCATCATTACATTCTAATCCAATAGAACACTTTTCCATAATTGAAACTTTTAAATCTATTCAAAAAATCTAATTTTGAAACATTTTACAAAATAATTTTTTTAGAAATATCATTTACATTATTTAGTTTATGGAAAACTATTTATACAATTTATTTGTCATACTATAAGACTTCCTTATATATACGATAAAAGCTAATTAAATTTTATTTTATTTACCAATTATATAGTATCATTCATAACATTCATTAATTAGTTAGGTAAATATAAAGTTCCTGCAAAGTAACAGGAAACTAATATTTACAACATGAAATCTAAATAAAAACAAAATAATAATAATGAGGAAATAAAAGGCATTATTTTTAAAAGACAAAAAAAATCTTACAGCATTTGGATTACAGCCAAATAAAGTTTTTAAACTTAAAAAAATGTATTTTACGAATAAATTAGCTTTAATAAATAATTTTATTATTTCTTACTATTGCTCTAAGGCCTTCAAAAGCTTGATGGAAAATTTTTACAAAACAATTGTAAAAAGTAAAAAGATTGATCTTAATTTTATTGGCTTAAAAAAAATTAGGAAGATATTATTTTTGGAGGGGCTAGGTGGGAATGCCTACCCCAGGTACCAAAAATTTAGAAATAAAGTATACATTTATTATTGCCTTCAAAATGACTTTAAAAATAACTTTTTACAACATGAAATTAAGATATAGCTAATTTTTTCATAAATAAGTTTTATTCTGACTCAGCATTATTGTCAAAAAATTCAAAAATATATTTTTAATTAATAGTGATGTTTTATACCTATATTGTAAGTTTCAGTAATGCCTAAAAAAATTATCAAGGTGACATCACTATTTGTGTACATAAGGTGTTCTAAAAAATGTACATAAGGTGGTCTAAAAAAAATTTTAATTTGATATTTGTATCCACCATATGGAAGATTTTCTATATACCAAATTTTAGAATGATACCTCATTTTGTCCAAAAAATATTTTGCTATTTAATGACAAAAATGCATTTTGCAAAAAGTGCTGAGTCAGCATAAATATGAAAATTGAAACCTGAATATCTCAAGAGCCGTAAGGAATTGGAGGTTCCAAATTTCAAATTTTTCTATTTTTCATAAACCCTATAAAATATAAAAAAATTAGCAAAATCACGAACATAGGGTGACATGAACCGGGTGATTTGACATGGAACTCTTATTGTAAATATTGACAAATTTGTTGTATGAAACATTAGCATTAAAATTTTTAAACTTAGTCGTAGCTGTTCAGCATATCAGAAAAGCCATTATAGTTGCCGTATCTGTACAGAATATATATAATTTTAACTGTTTCTGTTTTTTTTTTTAATTGTTTCTAAAACAATACAAAAACTTTAGAATTAGATGACTGTGACAAAGTGCACCCAAAGTAATAAAATAATTCAAATCAATTATTCTTTTGTTTGATTCTATTGATATTAGGTCAAGAACATTAGTGGATTTAAATTCATTGATTTGAAAAGTTAGCTTAATTACATTTTGTATCTGAACTATTAATTAGTTAGCCGATGTTTTCTTTATTCCATTTAATAGAAAAGTATTTTAAATATTTGCATATTAATAGGTCGGAATACTTATTTTTTATCAATAGATTGTAACTTCTTTTAATTGAATTTATTATTTTTAGATTTATAGTCAATTGTACCTGTTCTATAAATGCATTCAATGATGTATATATAAGATGTCCAAATTTGCTCTAAGTTGTCGTCATTTAACATTTTATCAAAAACTTTAATTGATTTAGTATTTTCTTTGACATATATTCATACTCCCCCTCCTCTTTTACTTAATCTATTGTAACCGGGAACATTACTTATTGACACTTTATTAAAAAAATGCTTCATTAAAAAAAAGTATCTGTGGGTAATCTCAGCAATAAATTCCTTGTATTTACAATTTAATGATGGAGCATTTGTATACGAACATGATAGAAAATTTTCTTTTACGTCATTTTTTCTTATTGTTATGTTTTTTGTATTTTCAGATATGTTTATTGACTCATTTGATTTTGACTTGTAATTTTTTCTTTTTAACATTTTATTGGTGATTTTTTTGTTTCTGTCTGTTGATTTATGATAATTGATTTTGTTACTCTTATAGTTTTTTGGTAGTCGCTATACAGTCACTACTTGATCATATCTGATGCTGAAATAATTATTATTTTCTTTTTTTTGTTTTCTTTCAGTGTTCATTTGGTGACTTTATTCTCTTAAAGGTTTTGCTTTATGTCATTTTGCTTCAGTAAGGTCAGGATTTATATATACTTTTGAAAACAAGTTATCATCTTTTAATACTTTTGAAGGTTGATTTGCAAAAATAAAAGTTTCTTTCTTTTATGTTTAACTTTTAAAGCAACGATAAAAGGTGCTTTTCGTTCCTTTTTTTTTAACTTGATAATGTGTATAACCAGAAATATGTTGTAGTAATTTTTTAAAATGTAGCAATTGGTTGCTGTAAATTCAAGCCAGGCAAAATTAAGTTGTCATGATTACATGTTACCATGGTAATGGATTACATGTTACCATGGTAACATGTAATCCAGTACAACATTTGTTGATGCTTAAGACTCATTTTTTTAATTTAAGGTTGATTTGCAGAAATAAAAAAGTTGCACATTGCTTAGAATGTTATACAGTAACAATTGAGTTAAGTTCTCTAATTGATAAAAATGTGAATTAAGTACCTTAAAATATTATTCAAGACAAACCACCATTACCATCAAATTGTTTTCATCTAGCCTTTACAAATGTTTTTGATCTTCAAAATAAATTTTCATTTGTTGAATCCTATATATTGCAAAGTTCATCAGATCTACTTGCTCCTTGTGAGACTAATTTAAATTTGGTTCTTTTATCTTTCATCATCAGCTGTTTTATTAATTCACAAAGACTCAAATATTTGCATACCTAGCACATAATTATGTATCAATTCACCTATTTGTTGTGAAATCATGTTTGAATCCTCTGAATATTATAAGGTTACAGTTAGCTGAAATCATTTTCAGACAAACAACTCACTAGAATTTAATATTTTACCTCAAAAATTAAATTTTAAAGACTTTTAGAAAATTGTTAACAACGTCATTAATAAAGGTCAAAATAAATAAATTCTCTGCTGGAAAATGTTTTATTATTTGGAGCAATATTGAATGATATGTTTTATTATTTGGAGCAATATTGAATGATATGTTTTATTATTCGAAGCAATATTGAATGATATAAAATGCATGTGTTGCAGCTTTCTGAGAGCAATTTATTTGAACAATAATATTTGAGAATAAAAATACTTTGCTGACAGAATAACTTTTTTAAAAATCTTTGGCTTTTTTCTTTCTTTTGTCATAGGGTACATAAAGAGTTTTGTTATCTTTATAACTAAAGTTGTAAAAAATATTATAGACTTTATAAATAGCCACAGCTTTGTTGCAAATAAGACACAGCAATTTGTTTTTAAAACTAATTAAATATATGACATTATCAACTTTTTGTTTTTTATTTGACTATTTAAGGTTAAAGCATGTATGAAAAATGTAATAAAAATAACAGTTGTTTGCTTGTATAACATTTAATTACATACCTGTATACCAAAAATTTACTGTATTCACAAAAGACAGCTGATGCAATCAGAGGTAGGAGTCAGCTGGTGCAGTCAGAGGTAGGTCTCTTGAACCCCGTTTGCTTACTAGCCAGAGGCGTTTTATATTTAAATAAAAATTTGCAAAAATTTTCAAATTTTTAAATGCGCATTAAAAAATTGAGTTTTTTCCCTTCTTTTTTTTTCCATTTGCTGTTTTTTCAAAATTTTTTTTTTAATCATTTTCACTTCCAACAAGACTGCAAGCAATTACTATTAGAGTTGGAAAAAAAAAAGAGTTGGAAAAGAGTTGGAAAGTTGGAAGTTATTTGAAAAAAAGTTGAGGTTTTTAAAACAAGATAATGATTAACAGACAACTTAAAAGATTGCAAATTATTTGAATCAGGAAAACAAGATAAAGGGAGCCAATTTTAAAGAACTTATGTTCAAGAAAAAAAAAACTAGATAACAGTCAACAGGAACAGTCACAGTAAAAGGATGATACTTAATTGAATAACGAGTAACACAAAAATGAGTTTTATTAGATGGCTGAAGTGATGCTACTTTAGACTACTAAGTGATGCTCTTTAGACCACTGTATTTATAGAAAAGAAAAAGCAACATTACGATGACGTGACAATGGTTAAAAGGTTGGCTGCAATAGCAGATCCAACTATGTTAACAATGCATTTTTGTACCTTGTCTAAAAGAGAAAGGGCATCATTTGAAGATCTGCTCCAAATATGGCAACAGTATTCAGTACAAGGACAGATTTGAGATTTATAGAGATAAAGAATAGAATCCCCAGTATGAAAGTCATAGTTTCTCCATCATTTGGCTGTATCATTGTTTAAGTTGACTCTGTATTATTTGTTTGTGAAATTGTATTTAATGTTGGCTTTTTAAGTTTAAAATCAAATTGATGAAATTATCCTTACCAACTTGGTAAATTTTAACAATCTTATTAGTTTTCTATTTTCATTAAAAAAGAATATGTTTATAGTTTATAGTAGACATAAAAATAAACATATTTTTTGAATCCATTTAGTTTTTAATTTAATTATTTCATTTACTTGAAATTATTTAGTATTATAAGATTCTATTTAATTTTTTTTTAGTTTTTTCTTAAGAAATTGTAAAATCAACTTGAAATTAAATTAAAATGAGTAAAAATAAATTCTGTTAATGAGTATAACATTTTTATTTTTATTTTTATTAGGAAAAAATGAGGTTTGTGAAGAATGTCCAACTAATCAAACACTCTCGGATCAGGCTCAAAGTTGCATTCCAATATCTATCAAATTTATTTCAAGAACTTTAGTCATCATAATATCTGTTTTAGCAAGTATTGGGGTTGTTGCAACTGTATTTGTATCTCTAATTTTTGTTTACTATCGTAGAACAGATATTGTTATATCTTCCGTTCCTGAATTGTCATTTTCATTGTTGTTTGGTATACTTTTGTGTTATGTTTTGACATATTTTATGATAGCAGATCAAACAAAGTTTTTTTGTTATATTCAAAAGTATGGTATTAGTCTTAGTTTTTGTATATGTTATGGATCATTACTTTTAAAAGCTTTTTGGTTTGCCAGTTCACTGTATAATAACAAAAAATCTAAAAAAGAAACTCTTAATCCTATTGCATCATCTCAATTTTTCTATCTTTCATCTGTCATTTTATTTCAGTTGGTAATTTCTTTTGTACAATTCTATCAGACTGGAAAAGATAAACCACTAGAATCCGTTTCTTATAATGGTGGTATGATAACTATATGCAGTTTTTCAGACTCTGACTTTCTTGCAAGCTTTATGTACAATTTTATTTTAATTTTTGTTTGTACTATATATGCATTTCGAACAAGAAAAGTTCCCCTAAGTTTTAATGAAGCAAAGTATATTGGCTTCCTTATGTATGCTTCAATTATATTATGGGTTTGTTTTATTCCTGCATACATAACAAGAGATGATAAGGTTGTACAAATGATTACATTAAGTATGAATATTCCATTGCATGCTACAAGTATTCTTGCAACAATATTTGGTCCAAAAGTTTACTTCATACTCACAAGAAGAAATCAAAGAGAACGTTCTTTCTCTAGCTATTCATATGCTGATAATGGAAACTGTAGGTTTTTATCAAATTTTTATAGTTTTTATTCTGAAACTGTAGGTTTTTATCAAATTTTTAATTTTTATCAAATTTTTGAATTGTTCAAAATAATAAATTACTGATTGAGCAGTTCAGAAGCCAATGTGATTATAAATAAAAATGAATAATAAGTCTATAACTGATCATAAGTCTATAAATAATAATGAATTATAAGTCTATAACTGATTATAAGTCTATAAATAAAAATGAAGAAAACCTATGATTTTGAAAATATTGAAATTAAAAATTATCATGAAAATAATCAAAAGATTTTTTATTTATTTTAACATCTATTATTTATTCTAGCGTATATTATTTGTTCTAATGTATATTATTTATCCTAATATATATTATTTATCTTAATATATATTATTTATTCTAATATATATTATTTATTCTTTTTTTAACTTTAAAAACACTATTTTCTATTTTTATGAAACAAATACTCTTGATTAAAAATTTTTTTTTTGTAATTTGCAACTAGCACACTTAAATAGGCTTATGCCCCCCTTGTGTTTACCCTTTTGCCCTATTTATGACCCTTAGCAATTTATTCGGATTTTAAAAAATCTCTTTTTTATTGTTATAATACAAATACTCTTAAATAAAAAAGGTTTCACTTGAGTGACACTCCATTAAACTTAAACTCATCTCTGGTCCACAGTGAAATATTAACCCAAAAAATATAGCAATCATAGTATAATAAATAATCATATCATTAAATAAAAAATCATTATATATAAATATATATATATATATATATATATATATATATATATATATATATATATATATATATATATATATATATATATATATATATATATATATATATATATATATATATATATATATATATATATATATATATATATACAGGTAGGTACACCTTAAAAACACAAACACCTTAAAAACTACCAAGTCATAATTTATGTTCTTGTCAAGCACTGTATGAGCTTTAACGCATAGTATTATTTGTTTTGAAACTCCATATAAATACTCTCTACAAAAAAATACAAGTTTGACTATTTTCTTATTAATAATATGTGAAAAAAACAATTTAAAAATAAAAAATAAATTAATTTTAAACTAAAAAAACACAGTTTTTGGCATGGGTAAGCATCAATTTGAAAATAAGATTGCAATTCCTTTTTTTTTAGATAGCTATATTGTTGCTACAAATAAAAAAAAAGTTTTTCACAATATCCTTCTCTGATCGATAAAATAAGCTTTTTACTAGCAGTAGAGACGCTTGTAGTTTTTAAGGGGTACAAAGAGTAATACAAACATTGAGACACAAAGTCAAAATTTCTTTCCGGAATCAAAAAGTTACATTTCAAATCAACATAAAACATTTCCCCAATTGATGTTATCGCTTTTCACGTCACTTAAATTGTCTTTATATTTAGCATTTGTTTTGGTTGATGTGGCTAGTTTAATCATTATTGGCTTCATTCCATCAACTCGACAAGAAATTTTGCTGCATACTGTTTTCTTTATCTTGTGGCAGACTGGGCACTCTTTAAAACCCTTTACTGCACAAATGCCATTGCAAACACATTTTAATTTACATTTATAAAATTGTTCTTTTTCTTTATCTTTTTCTTTCTTTTTTTTCTCCTTTTGATCTTTTTTTTTCCTTTTTCTAATTTTTTTAATTATTCTAATTTTTTAATAATTCTAATTTTTTAATTTTTTTAATTCTAATTTAATTAATTTAATTAATTAAATTAAAAAAAAAATCAACTCAACCTGTTCAATGATGTTTTGGGGTTCCATTGACCCTTGTATGTTTGTGACACGTATATTTTTTATTTTATTCATGTCTTTTGGCTTTACCTTGTTTACTGTAAGCAAACCTGGTATATCTTCTAGAATTAAACTTTTTTCATAACTTTCTTTCATAATCATCTGTGACTGCTCGAACATAATTTTCCAATAATTAGCTGATCCATAACGATGATTTGTTTTTGCTAATTCGGGAAATGAATGTGGAGTAATTGGTGTTAACAAAACATTTGCTGATGAACGTGTGCATATTTTCTTTGGTGTACTTAGAACAAGAAGAAGGTGTACTAGAAGGCTCTTGTTCTTGATTTTGAACCATACAGTTTGCAGTCTGTTGAAATTTATCTTGCTGCATATTATTTACATTTAAACCTTCTTTAGATATGCTAACTCTCTTTGCAGCATTAATTATGGTATCCCTTGAAGCCCATTTATCCCACATTTCTCCTAAAATTGTCATGAAGCCTTCTCAGTTTATTGTTTGGAAAGTTGTAAAAAGTTCATCTCTTTTTTTTTCATATTGACGATGCATGTTTTGATTAGGACTTTGATCCAACAGTTGAGTAACCCCCCCCCCCAGTTGTATCAGGAGGACTTATAAACAAGTTAATTTTTTTTTCATGGAGGAAATGTAGAACATTGTAGTCAAATCTTGAACTGTGTCCATCTGCTAGCATTACAACAGGTCGTTGTATATTTTCTTCTGACAAATATATATCAAACTTTTTGTGTAGGTCCAATAAAGAATAGTTATCCTGGCTTCCTTTTTCAGTAAATGATATAATTAAATTTTTTATATTTTTGACAGCTGTTTTTGGGGCCATATGACTTGTGATACCTTTACCAGCAAAAATAACTTGTGAAACAACAATTTCGCCTGAAATGTAAAATAAAAAAATATTACTTATGATTAAACCTATACTTAACATAACCATGGGGATAAAAACATTCACTAAAAACAAACACTAAAACGATTGACTAATACTTCTTAAGTGATGAAAACATGATTGGTTATTGTTTTTCTTCAGATAAATGCAAATTATTGCATATGTACATTTACATAAATAGTTTGTGTTATTATTACCTGCTAATGAAACAACTGGGCATATTGCTATTGATTCACGATTCTCCCTAATCATTTTTCTTCAAGGTTCCCTACGTGCAACATACGCGAGCCCGGAATTTGTTCCATCAACCCCATAATTTATGAACTGGGGTGTTTCGTCAAAATTAAAAATTCTTTTTGTATCAATATAACCCTTCCACACACCAGGTTCAAGTTTTTTTGAGTTTGTGAAAATCTCACATTTAATAAGTTCTTCAGCCAACGAATCTAAAAGATAAATTCAAAATGTTTTTGCTAGTACACTGCACCCTAGGACTAATCTAAGACATTTATATATCATCGTTTTAATTATGGAGCATATCAGCAAATAAAGTACAAAAATATATTATTAATTATTTCCTTACCTAAATGTGACTCAGCCATACCCCCTTGTGCAGTTCAATGCCCAGTTAATAGGTACATTTCCTTGTCGTTTTAGAACTAAGCTATGGTGCTCTGCTTCCCATCTCTGCCAAAACGACTGGCCAAGCCTATAATAAGTTTAAAACTTGTGTTTATAATAAAGCTATGCTAGAATTATATGGAATAGTGTTAAAAAACAAATAATTAGTGTATTATATTACATAAAGAAACTTTCATTATAATTCATTATGTAACTAAACACTCTACTTACTTTCCTGTCTTAACAACATGTTTTGCATTATCAGATAGTTTACCAAAATTGTGACTGCCTTGATTCGTGGTGTTGCAGTAGTCTCTAATTTTTAAAACATCAATAATTAGATTAGTGACTTGCTTCCTTGATATTCCTTGATGGCACCTGTTTTTATTTTTAATGAATTCTACAATCGAGTGTTCTTCTTCTGCTGTCAAAATTCGCAGATGTTGCTTTTTTATATTAGCAGTTTTTCCATCTAATCTCCGATCAACAGTTACTTGATCTTTGATAAAAGAAAACATACCAATTTGCAAAGCAGCATAGCCTCTTTTTTTGTGCTCTATGCACCAAGACACAGCTTGTTGAATCTGAAGTTCTTTCATATTTATTTTTTTCCTCTGGACTTTTGCCTCTGCCTTTGAATTTGGTTTTCCAACAACAAAAGGTTCTTTTCTCACTTTTAAAATAAATTTTGGTTTCCCCATTGCAAAATTACTTATTATATTTTTATCTATAAAATACATATGGTATAAAACAATTGTGTGCATAAATAAACTTAAGTAATATTCCTATTAAATAAAAATATAATATCTGAGTGCCCTATATGTTAAACTACCTACAAATTTTAATTAATAGTAATCCCCTAATTACAGTATATTAGTATTTAGTTTTAATTTGTAAGGATTTATTTTGTAATTTTAAGGAGTTTTGGGGTTGTTTATGTCTTTTCGTTTATAATAGATTTACAATAATGTGTATACCAATACTATGGCCCGAAAACAAAATGTTTACAAAATTTTGAGGGAACCTGATCAACGGCTCTAAAATTATAAGCAAAAAACCTGATTGCGGTTTTTAAGGGGTAACAATCAAAAAAGACGACTTTTCTTTTAATCACAAAACTTTACTAAAAACTATAGCTTAAAAAATAAGGCCAGAGAAGACATTCATTTAAAGTAGTTTTTAAGTATAGAAAGTTTCAGCACTTCAGTTTTCAATATTCAGTTATAGGGTACCATTTTTTTTTGTAGTTTTTAAGGTGTACCTACCTGTATATGATTATTATTATTGTTATTATTAGATTAAAAAATTCAACTGTTTTTTTTTCGCCAGTTAATTAAATTTTTTTTTCAGTGTGTTAATTTTTGTTTCATAACATTTTATGTTTAACATAATATTGTTCATAATTGAACTTTATAAATAAAAAAAATACTTTATGCTTTAAAAGTATTACTTTTAACATAATTTTAAATCAAATCACTGTTTTTTTTTAAAGAAGCTCACAACAAAGTTTTATGGTTAAGAACTAACTTAGCAGTTGAAATAACGTTAGTTTTAAAAAAGGCTCTCGTGCTCAAAGCTTTTTAACAAATTAAAAACAGTGATTTGATGACATAAAAGTAAATGTATAAAAATATATCAAAGATATATTTTTATATATTTAACTTTTATTTATTATATTTATATTTTTGTACATTTAACTTTTAATTAACTTCTTATAGAATATAGTTAAGCTTTTATAAAATTATTAGTTAAACATTTTATGTTTCTAATTTAGCTGTAAATGGAATTTTTATAACAGCCAGTGGTTTTAATTCTGATCCAGATTGTGTTAAAAATGAAAATAAAGATAGTTAACAATTTTTTTATTCATACTTACATACGTACCTTTTTCATTAAACAATCTGAATGTTGAAAAAATTAACTTTAAAAAATATGGACTTACTCTTTTAGAAAAATGCTTTTAAATTTAAAGTTGCTTATTATAAACAATAATTTTTTTTTATTGACTAGTACAGAAAATAATAATACAGAGAATCATTAACTAAACAAGTCAGTGGGTCTCACAATTCTGAACACGTTTTGTCCTTTGGGGCTCATCAGCGTGATAATGTGATTCCAAAGGTGTGTAAACACACAAGCTCGCCTTCTTAGCAGATCAATATTATATTATTAATTTTATCTATATTATCTATCTATATTATAATACATTATTTTCTACATTATTATCTGTATTATTATCTGTATTATATATATATATATATATATATATATATATATATATATATATATATATATATATATATATATATATATATATATATATTTATATATATTTATATATATATATATATAAATATATATATATATATATATTATTTTATATATATATATATATATATATATATATATATATATATATATATATATATATATATATATATATATATATATATATATATATATATATATATATATATATATATATATATATATATATATTAGGGTCCTGCGAATCAGCATTTTTGGTTTCGAATCGAACCTCGAATCGAACCAGGTCTTGATTCGTGAATCGAATCAACATTTTAAGGAAATCTAAATTTAAGCATTTTTTCCATAGTATATATTTGAAAAAAAAATTTAAATTTAAGCATTATTATTAAATAGAGAATGACGTGAATAACTTATTGGTGAATATGATATTTTATATATATAAAAGATCATATTCACCAATTCTATTCCTTGCAACGGCTTGAAGCTATTTAAAGGCACTTAACATTTACATTGCATTCCACTTCACATTAAAAATAAAAAAGAAATAAAAACATCGTTTCCTGGTAAAATAAAAAAGAAATAAAACATAATTTTTTGATAAAATAAAAAAGAAAGGGTTAAAATATAATATCTTTATTTTTTTGCGCCCAAATTAATGTTTCTGCATTATTATTAGATAGAGAATGACGTGAATAACTTATTACATGACCACTAATTGAGTTGACTCTTTCAGAAGAACAACTTGTTGCTTGTACAGCTAATACAGATCAAGCCGCCTGCGCAAAAACAGGACAAATGTTCTCATTTTTTTTCCAGTATTCTAGAGGGCAATTATCACTATTTATGGTTTGCGAACAAATGTAGATACCCATTTCCATAACCATGCAATCTTCAATGCTTTTTTTTGTAGAATTTTGCTGTTTTTTTAGATTCTTTTTCTTTAACTTGATTAAATACAGCGTCAAGTAAATTTTTTGGTAGTTTTTCAATATTGTTGTTATTTATAGAATTTAAGCAAGGAGTGATTTCGCGTAGCTTAAAATCAACTGACATTTCAATTAGATGGTTTTTTACAATTAAAAGCTTGTTTTCAGTGTGCTTTAAACCTCAAGTCTTAATATGTTGAGGTAAGTAGCGTAACATTTGCTAAATTAAAACGTGCATGTAGTTGCAAAAGTAACTCTATTTTAAAGCTGCTCATAAAGCTACAACTTAACGAATCTAATTGATTTTTTAAAGTATAAATGCAAGGTTTAACCAAACTAATAGCAACAGTGGTATCAGTACTTAGTAGCGTTGTTGCATTGATATTGGTTTTAAAAATGGAATGCACTTTTTTTGAATATCTTTCATCGCCTCCGATAGAGCTTGAGGAGGATATTTTGCGCACCTACCACTTAAAGCCCATTCCATAAGTGCCATTGTTATTGCCGTACAATTTTCACATGACCAATTCAGAAGTTTAAATGTACTGTTAAACCTTACAATATCAAGTGGTGGACAGGATTCTCGAAGTCCTTGTTCAAGTTGATGTTTCTTTAAACATTTTAGACCTACAGAAGAACTGTTGAAAAAACCTGCAATTTTGTGTACCAAACTAATAAGGTTTTTCACTTGCTGTTGAACATTCAAAGCGCTTATGATGCATAGTTGAAGAACATGTGCAGCACATGGCTGCCATGTAATTCCTAAAAGACTAGCAGTGGCAGGCATTGCGTTTGTTGTGTCTGTGCACATAGAACGTTTTCTATTTCAATATTTGAACATTGCAGTTGATTAATAATAACTTTTGTTTTTTGAGAAGTATGATCTGAATTAATATCTTCAAGATTTACCACAGATAAACAACGTGATTTTAGCTTCCATTCTGTTAGAGTTATATAATGTACCGTTAAAACTAAATAGTTGCTATTATTTGTAGCTTTCCAATTATCAAAAGTAATGGAACATTTACAACCTGACATTTCCGCAAGTATTACTGTTTTAAATTTACTTTTCGAATCTGTTTTTAAGTCATTTATCTTACGTGAAAGAGTAGATGGATGAGGAGGTTTATAATTTTTATTACTAAGAGTTGAACACAATTTTATAAAACTCTTACCAGCCGAAGTCTCAAAAGAACGTCCATCTGCAACAATAAATTCCAATACAGCTTTGTCAAATATTTTCTTGTGTTTTATCAAGATGAGTTTGTTAAGAAAATCTGACATAACACTTTGCTTAGATTTTTTTAAACAAATGCTTTCCGAAACATCTGGTTTCGACAATTTGCGTTTTTTTTGCTCGATCTGTTTCAGCTTGAGTATGAAGCGTCTTGTGCTTTCTTTCCAAGTGATTCTAGAGATGTGATGATGTGCCAGAGCTTTATACACGTCAAGTGGCTTTGCACGTTTTACATAAATAAAACTAATCTTTTACTTTAAAGTACGACTTAATAATTCCCGCCGTTGCATAAATAAAAAATATAGGTAACTTTAAAGAGTTTGCGAAATCAAAAATGAATAAAAAAAAAACGCTTTCTAAAATAATTGTTTTCCAAATAATAAATGTGCAACAGATGTTTTTTGATTCGTTTCTTTTTACAACATCAACTTATAAAAGAATGTTTCTTAAATTTAATTGCTCTTTGTAAAATAAATGTACAAAAAACAAAATAACAGTTGTAATTTTTTAAAATTAGCATGGTGGAGTTTTAAAGTCGTTGAAAATAATAATTGCCACAACTTTTACATTACAATTGAGGGGTGATTTTTTAATCTATGGGTCATCCATAAAGTGTTATGGTAATTTTTCCTTATAAAAAAAAGTAGGAGGTTATTGGTTTTTTTTGCACTAGGACTTTTAAAGTAATAAGGCGCTTTATATTCAATGACAATCTCCGTGCAAGAGAGCTAATGATCTCCTTCCTACCTTCAATTAATTTTAATGCTACACTACACTAGAAGACAAACCACTAAAAACAACCTATAAGAAATGCTGTTTACTTATAGCAACCTGTTTTCGAACTGCGTCAAAAAAAAATAAATAAAAAAACATTTAAAAATGGTTAGGGTTTCATAATTTTTTTAAATTTATTAAAAAAAAAACTTGATTCGAATATATAGAGATCTTTCGAATCAAATCTCTAATCACTTTATTGATCGCAGGGCTCTAATATATATATATATATATATATATATATATATATATATATATATATATATATATATATATATATATATATATATACATAATTACTCTTAAGTCCTTAATACATGGGGGGTGGGTGGGAATAAATGGGTGGGTGGAAATTTTTGTCCAGATCTAATAAACATTACTTTTGCTGTAATATATATATATATATATATATATATATATATATATATATATATATATATATATATATATATATATATATAATTATTACTATTATTATTAATATTATTATTATAATTATTATTATAAGTATTTCTGCATTATTTATTTAATGGTTTACTATAATTTTAAACAATGTATTTATTTTGTATTTATATATTTTTCAACAATGTATTAATATATACAATATATAACACACAAATTTTTTTATTACAGCTTCTCAACAAGGTTCTTCATCTACTTCTGATCAGATATCACGTGTAACATTAACAACACAGTTATCGTCAGATGTACGTTAGAATTATTGCCTTAAGAATTATATATGATATTTTTAATATATTTTGTAAAATTATTTTTCATTTAAGTTTTAAAATTTTTTTATTTAATTATAAAAAAATCTTGTAAATAAATATAGCATTTAATTATGCATTTTATATTTTAGTTGTTATATTTTCATTATCTTATTTGTGTTTCTCAAAAAAATTGTAGAAAAAAATGTATGAAATTTTAAACAATTAGTAAAAAAAAAGAAATATTGAGCACTCTATTTTGTAGAGTACATATGTTACTATTTCTTTATATACAGTTATTACCAAAATTATCTGACCACACAATATTTATAGCAAGAAATAATAAAGAAAGTCACAGTATAAAACATGTTTTAGTCCATTTTGTGGGCTCATTTTTTTTCTTTGTGGCATTAAGGCAACAAAAGACAACACAAAAAGACAAAATAATATTGTTATATGGTTACACACTTTCATTATGACTATTTTTTCAAATTTGCTTGTAAAGTTACTTTTAAGAAACATCTGCTTTTATTTTTAACTAACAGTTTTTGATGGGTTTAGATCCGGTGACTTGCCTGACCACAAAGCATGAACATAAATTGCATTTTCTTGAAGCCATATCCTGAAATTTTTTGTCTATTGACAAGTTATGCTGTTGTGCATAAAATTATCAAACTTTCTAATTTAAAACCAATTAAACACATTGTTCATTAAAAATTCTTAATAATCCATGGAATCAACAGTATCACTTTGTTGTTAAAGTATAAAGTAGCATGTTGCAGGTAGCAAGTAACATGGCGGTTTGCAGTAATTGCACCTAAACTCATAGTTGCTTAAAGTTGCAAAGTAAGATAAATTATTATAGTATATTAAGTATTAGAAAATGAAGTGCAGGTTTAACTGCCAAGTGTGCCTCTTAACTTGTGCTTTTTAACATGGCTTTAATACAGTATGATTGGTTTCTAAGGCTTCTAAAAAATGGCTTCTGAAAATTGTGTGGGTACTAATATTTCCACTAGGAGGCAATTGAGTAAGAATTTGTTGGCTTGGAATCTCTATGTCTTTCACAATTAGACAATGTGTTATGTCAGTTATTAAAGTAGTACTTCTTAGTTTTATAGGATTTTCCTGGATTGATGCCATTTGTTGACTTGATATATTGAATCATGTACAGTTATCTTAGACATCTTCAAACCTGCAGCAAATCGGACTTGCTGTCTTATGGCAATCATTCAGACTTGCTGACTTATATTAAAAATTATACATGTTTAGCAAGTGATATTGTTTAGCAAGTGATGTTGATATTATTAACACTAAAATAATAAAGATTGAATTTCACATGATTTCAATAAAGCATTAACGCATTTAAGTAAAGCATTTAAAATATTTTCATATTGGTTGATAACTATGTCACCACCCATGTGGTCATTGCAATGAATAATTGTTTTTCATTTTTAAGTAATATTATAATTATATATAATAATTATTAGCGATCACATCATTTTGGCAAAAAAAAAGAAATAACAAATTTGGCTACTGCCATAATAAGTATGTTAAGGAAAAACTGTTTAAGTATAAATAAATATTTGCTTTGTATTTAACGACTTATCATTTGTCATTAAAGCATTTGACTTGGTCTTGGAATTATATTAAGGATATGGCATTTTATTCAAATTAAATTCACCTCCCCTAGGCTTCAGAGCCACTGCAATCAGGTGGTAATTAATTTTTATTTTATCTGAAACTCTCTTTCAATTCTAAACTTGCAAACACAAATTTTTTAAAACTGCTTTGCAGAAAAACAGGTTGAGACTGGTACTTCGAGAGACCTAGAATGGATTTAAACCTGGAGCCTCATGAATGTGAGCCAAGTTACTCCCCCAGTGACTACGGTCTTAAATACAAAAACATTAACATTAAGGCGTATGACCTTGGTCTTAAATATAAGCAGTTATCGTTAAGGTTTTCTCAAATTTTATTTTTTCATTTAATAATTTTGGAAATGTTCTACTTGTTTTTTTATTGTATTAATTATTGTTGTTCAATTGTAATTGAATTCAAATTTAAACAACTTAAAAGAAAAACTTAAAAAATTATAGGAATAGAAATTTAATCTTAAAAATTTATCTTGAGATAACTGAATCTTACAGATAACTGAGATAACTGAGTCTTTAATCTTTTTAAATCTTTAAAAATGAAATATATATTGACAATTAATTTCAAGTCTGACATATGGAGATCAATTATATGATAAGGAGAAAAATAGAATAAAATTATAAGTTACAGGAAAATTATGCTTGCATTCATTTTGATGAAAAATAAACAAAGTTAAGTAGCAAATTATTAAATTGGATGAATGTCAATTTGGATGAAATAATTTGTAATTTGTGTAGGCTTATTTGTACAAAACCAAGTTTTATGAAAACAGTCTACAAAGCAAACATTAAATCAAATTAAAAAAAATTCACAATTACAAAATGCAATAATCAACTTAAAATAAAAAAAAATTATTAACTTAAAATTATTTATCAAATATTTTTTATAAATAAATGCTAAAATTAGTTTATATTTGTCATAACTATTGTAAGACAACTGGTTGTCACTTAGACCATGCACTTTTGCTAAAGACCTTTTGTATTACATAAGTAAACATTTTGATGTTTTTATAATTTAATGATGATAGAAAAGATGATATTTTTACTGATGACATTTTAGTTTTAAAGTATATAATTAATTATGAAAAAAGAAATTGTTTTCTACTATGATATTATTTGTCCGTATGCATACCTTGCCTCCAAGTTAATTGAAAATGTTGCGAAAAGAACTGATGCAACTTTAGTATGGAAACCTGTTTTACTTGGTAATAGTTTTGATTCTTTATAAAATTATATAAAGTAAATGTTTAGTAAATATTTAATTTTCTAATTAATTTTACATATGTTGAAAACCATAAATTTATAGGAGCTATCTACAAACATACAAAACCTGATAACATTGACATACCTGAAAATAAATTGATCAAAACATATTCAAGCCAAAAATTAAAAGTAATGAGAAGAGGTAAGCTTGTCATCTGTTCTGTAAATTTATCTTTTCTGTTTCAGAAACGCTGATGAAAGAATTGTCTAATTTTAGCTTGTTTTAGATTTGGCTATGCAATTTTCTCGTCACAGTGTTCCAATAAGTACAAATCAAGTACCAGATGTTAAAACATTAAATGCATTGCGGTTGATTGCTTTCACACCTGATGAGTCTATGGATCTGAGATCAAGACTTTCACATAAGTTATTTGATGCAATTTGGCAGCATAAAAAAGGTAAATTTACTTGTTAATGTTTGGCCCATACATAATGCATCATGTATGTGCATTATGTATTGGCAGCATAAAAAAGGTAATTTTACTGATTAATGTTTGGCCCATACATAATGCATCATGTATGTGCATTATGTACAAGCCAAACAATTACAAATTTGAAACAATTACAAATATGTAAATGATATGAACATCTTAAAAAATGTTTTTCACATGTAAATGGTATGAAACAGTGATAATGAAATATCTCACAAAAAAATTTTAATATGTAAGTAATATGAACACCTTAAAATTTTTTTTTCAGATGTAAGGAATATGAAAAAGTGATAATGAAACATCTTACAAAAAAATTTTAATATAAAAGTAATATCTTACAAAATTTTTTTAGATATAAATGATATTAACATCTTTAAAAATATTTTTCAGATGTAAGTGATTTGAATATCTTACAAAATATTGCTGATTCATTTAATCTTCCAATCAAAGTTACTGACTTTGATGATAAAACCCATCCTGCTCGACAGAAGTTATTAGATAACACAGAGGAAGCCATTAGTCGCGGTGTTTTTGGTGTACCAAGGTAGTTTACAAACTAGTGTTTTTAAATAATGTACATATGACAATTTTTTTATTAGATACAATATTTTAAATAGTTAAAAAAACCTAATACAATTAACTCCTTATAACTCGAATCTTTGATAATTTCCATTGAACCAGGTCTCATAAAATCTCATTCCCATTAAACCTGATTTCTCATAAAAATCGCATGTTAACTTGATGATTCACAAAATCATTCAATTTTCTTTGTCCCTTGAAATTCAAGTTATAGAGAGTTGTAATATTATAGAATTAAATACATGGATGAAATGTAAAGAAAATGAAAGACTTTTAAAATATTTTTTATTTCTACTTGGACTTTAAGAATAAAAATATTGTGAACTTTATTTTTAAAAATGTGCAGGGGAAAAAATAATTTTTTATTTTCAACTCATGTAATATTCTAATAAGCGGCTCTAAACTTTGATTCTAGAGCTCCTTAAATCTTTTTTCTCTATTTAAAAAGTTCAAAACGTTTTTAAAATCCAGGTAAAACTAAAGATTTATTTGTAACACCTAGAACTTCTCATTCTTGGTTTAACTTCCGATCCTTGGTCAAACCTTTCTTGATAACTTTTATTTTTATATCTCGTTGTTTTATGATTAGTTTTTTTAATATTTTAAAATAAATTAATGTCTGGTATGTTTGATAATTTTTAGTTAATCCTAGTGAAAATTTAATGAGATAAAATTATTATTTTAAGTATGTGGGTCAACAACCGACTATTTTTTGGAGGTGATAGGCTTTTTCTTGTTGAAAGAGAGTTCGGTTTGAAATCTGAACCTCATAGAGTTTTACACAAACCAGTTTGTGATGTTACGAAAAAAGCCAAACTTACATTTTATCTTGATTTTGGAAGTCCTTGGACATTCCTTGGTTTCAAACAGGTTATTTGTTTAATTTATGTGTTATATTTAACACATTTTTTTGTGTATCACTTTTAAATAATATCAAATAATTTTTTAATATCTTTTTTAACAAAATCAGAAGTTTTTAATTAATTTTCAAGACTTGCTTTATTTGTTTAATTTTTTTATATTTATATTTTGGAAGTTTTTTTTATAGATTTACAAACATAAATTTGTTTATCCTAAAAATAGACTAAAGTATTCAATTCAATTATTTCCTTTTCTTAAATTTAACAATCTTACTTTTTATTATTATTATTTTTTTATTTTACTTCACCTCCTCAAGGCCGAGAAGGCCACTACAAACGAGGAGGCTACTTATTTTGTGGCTATAACCCTTTCTCAACTCTATAACTCCGAAATACGAACCTTGACGAACAAGGCCGCTGCGCGGAGAAACGAGTTGACTTCTGCCATAAGAATCCGTAATCATACTATTATTCATTAGCAGATTTCTGCCATAAAAATCCATAATCATACTATTACTCATTAGCAGATTTCTGCCATAAGAATCCATAATCATACTATTATTCATTAGCAGTTAAGAGCATTTTAAAACAAAAGTTAAAAGAAACAAAAACTTTTAAAATGTGCTTGAAATTAGACTTTTCATTTTTATATCATTCGCATCATCTGTGGTACCACAATGTGATAGTGGTGTATTTTTAGAGCCCCTGCTTTGTGATAAAAAAATATGGACTTATTCACCTTCTCAAGGATCATAATAAAAAAATATTTTTTAATTTTTAGTTTTTTACAAATCATCATGACTGAAGCAGTTAAATAACAGTTAAATAACTAAATGTAACAGATCATAAATATAAATCAATAAATAATAGCATAAAAAGTTTTGTTTGTTAATTAAAGAAAACTTCTTCAAATATGTTAGTAATAAAATTTCTACAATTTTTAAATTGTAGAACTAAGAGAGTTTCAAAATAAGTTACTTTGCCTAATAAAATTAACTACACAGGTTTTCTTTTCTTTTAATGAATGTGACAAATTCAAAGAGAAATTATGGCTTAAACTTCTAAATCTTCACAAATTTTGCATTCATTAATTTTTTGAATGTAGCCATATTTAAAGTTATTTTTATAACAAAATTTAAAAGCAACCACTACTTTTACTATTTATAAACAAGCTCTGCTGACTTTTTCTATAGAAAACTTGACAGTTAAAGTGTTTAGTGCAGAAGTTAATGTAACATTACATTGTTATCTAATTATGCACATAGAGTCTTTCATTCTATAAGTGCATGTCTAGATTTACTTAGATATTACTTATCTATTTTTACTTTTTTTATTTGTTCTGATTCTATTAGATAAAAATAAAAGTTTTTTTTTATTAATAGTTACAGTAAATAACAAATATTCCAATATTTTGTGTGCAAAAGTTCCTTCTTAGTTCATTAAATAACAAATAAAATGTTTTTGTGCAAATGTTGTTTCTTAGTTACAGTAAATAACAAATACAATATTTTGATAATTAATGTTATGTTTCTGTAAGTTCCTATAAGCTCCATGTTAATTCCTGACATTGTTACAAAACAAACGCACCAATCTGCTTCTTCCTTTGTTTCAAAAGTGAAGTAGAATTTTAAGTTACAGAAAGTAAGAATGTTGTCACCTAAAGCTTTACAATGAATAAAAATTATCTTATTATATATAAGGAACTTAATAATAATGCTCATTCATGCGTGTTTTGAACAGTGACATTTTTTAATTATCTTTTTTTTATATTTGTTTGAGTTTCATGCTATATTAAAGCCAAGAAAATGGTGTGAAAATGTCTTTCAGCACTTTTTAAAAGCAAATGTAACTATATCTAACTTATGCAAATGGAAAAAGTTTTAAGTTATTTAGTTTAATTTTTACTTCAAATTTCAACAATATGTCCTTAATTTTGATTTATAGCACTTCTTTGTCTAATTTATTAAGTTAATTTTTAAGTTTATGAAAATAAATAATTCTTAGATATATTTATATAATATGTTTTGCTTAATAAATTAAAAAACCTAAATATAGAACTTAGTAGCCTAATTGGTCACTACTACTGCTGCTGACTGCATTGCAAGGGTTCAGATTTTTTAAACCCTTGTCTTGGTGCATCGCAAGGATTGAACCCCTGCGATGCACAAACCTCATCTTCTGCTTGCTCATTAAATCTTTTTTTTAAATACATAACAAAAAATTTTTATAGTTCTATTAAGATTGTATCTATATCTATAACTTAAATTACTCTTTTCACCTGCCCAATAAAACACATGAATGGGGCTTAATGAAAGGTACAGATTTTTGAAAAGGCCTAAATTTTCAATAAACATAAAAATACTTAAAGAAATTTGTCAGCTATAATAGATTTAATTATATTAATACTTATATTATCAATATTTTTATGTAATTAAGTCTGCTTGCTATTTATAAAATAATTTTAGATTTTTAACTTAAAGAAAACACCTTTTTTTTTACTCAAACTTTTATTTTGTTTAAAATTTTTAAATGAGAAGTTCCTAATAAGCTCCAGATTTTAAGAAATAAATTAATTGTAAATTTATAGAAACTAAATAAAAAAAAACTTATTAAGCGCTTCCCCATTTTTTATTAGAGGTTTACAATTTTACAATAAGAAGTTATTGAACATTAACTCTAAGAAGTATTGAACATTAACTTTAAGAAGCATTGAACATTAACACTAAGAAGTATTGAACATTAACTCTAAGAAGTATTGAACATTAACTTTAAGAAGTATTGAACATTAACTCTAAGAAGTATTGAACATTAACTTTGAGAAGTATTGAACATTAACTCTAAAAAGTATTGAACATTAACTTTAAGAAGTATTGCACATTAACACTAAGAAGTATTGAACATTAACACTAAGAAGTTATTGAACATTGACTCTAAGAAGTATTGAACATTAACAATAAAAAGTATTGATTAGTATATGAGATACAATAATTGTTAACTCAAAGCCAAGATATTTAAGATTCTTATTTTTAGTAAGCGACCGGGGCCCTGGCTCCAACTTTTTACAAACCGAACAAAACTAAAAAATCTAGCATGGGTTGATAGCCGGGGCTAGAAAAAAATTTATAATACTTTATATATTATAATATTATGGTTACATTTACTATTTATTAAACACTGGCATAAATTTATATATTTTCAAACTCTAATTTACTTCCAACAAGATTACAAGCAACCAATATTAAGTTATGAGCTACTTTAAAATAAAGAATAAGTAAAAATACTAGGAATTGGTTAACTAAAGACTCAAAAAGTTGTAGGTTGTATATAAAAGAAAAACATGAAGATGGCTAAGAGTTAAAAAGTTTTTTTGATGTGCAAGGAAAAAAACTGGATTAATAAAAGTTTTTTAGCATGAAGGATACAGTAAAAGGATGCAACTTGTGAATAAAAAGCCAAACAAGAATGAGTTTTGGTTTATTGTTAAAGAAATGATAGCTCGTTTGAGCATTGACCATGATGACATTGACATGATCATTGACATGATGGTATTTGTAGAAAAAAGAAAGAGATTCAACCTTAAAACAATGGGAGAATTGCTCAAGCTTGGCAAATAAAACAGATCTAATTACATTTACAATGTGCTTTTTTCTGAGAGTAAGAGGGTTGTTATTTATCAATATAGGAATGCCAACATTATTGCAATATTTTTTTGCAATAAATAAAGGGGTTTTGTTGTCTAACAAAAATTGTGGATTTTAAGTCCAGAATATAAATCCAAAAGCCACCCTAAGCCTTAGGCTGTTACAGAAGAGAGATCAGAATAAAAAACGGCTGCTTGTTCTAAGCAATCAAAAAGTAAATATTTTTTGTCAAGACAAGAGTATAAAGTTGAGTGGTCAGCAAATAGAGCCACTTTAGATGTAAAATTTTCATGAAGATTCATATTTTAGATGAGAAACTATACAAAAGCAAAAATAGAAACTTGTGGTACCTTTAAAGTTAATTGAAATAAAGAAGAGTGTAGGACTTCAAAATTAACTTTAATACTGTAGTTAGAAAGAAATTTTAACTTTAATACTGTAGTTAGAAAGAAATTATTTAATAATCTCAAAAACCTTTATATAAAGAAACTAATAACAGAGTGAAGAGTAATCATTGGATAGTTAGAAAGGTCAAAGTGTTTTCTAGAGTTTTAAAAAATTGGAACCACTTAGCACTTTTTAAAAATTTAGCAAAAATTGAAGAGAGTTCTAGAGAACACTTTTTTTTAGAGAAGACTATGATGGAAATCTTGTCTGAAACACAAACTAATAAAGTGTATAATTGAGAATTAAATTGAGCATTGGAAGCCAGAGTGGTTTGGATAAATTAACAATCATTAAAAATCATTTAATAATCAGTTAATCTGTTTAACTGGCAGTAAGAGTAGAGTTATGGCAAGAAGCCATTATATTCAAGAGCCAAACTAGAGTAAGATTTATTTGCTATAAATGACTCTGCTTTATTCTGGGGCAAAGTAAAAAGATCAACCCCATGAATTAGAGATTAAATGTTTGTAAATATTATTTCATTTTTATATAAACTTTAGTATTTATAGGGTGTAGTATTTACTGAAAGAGAAGATGATCAGATGGTGGTCATGATGATGATGATGATAATTATGATGATCATGTTGATCATAATGATGTTTATATATGCATATATATACAAAATATAACATGCATTTTGAATAAAAAAATATACTTTAGGATGTATAAATGTTTATGCAGCTCCGGTCACAATCCCGGCCCCAGCTTTATTTTATAAAACTCAGCCCCGGTCAAATATCGATCTCGTGCACTTACTACTTGTTTTCTACCACTTCTAAAAATTTTTAAAATTTTCTGACTTCTAAAACTTATTGAAATAAAAATAAGTATATAAATGGTATATGTGGAACAGATCTACCATGTACTGTATTGTGATAATGGCTGATCGTTATAAAATGTTATTGTTATGCTTATTTTTGTC